CCTTAATTACTTTCTCTTTTCACCCTTCCACCATCCCCCTATTTTTCAACAGCTTTCAGTGAGTTGGCTGGTGCCCCTTTCACACATAGATACCTTGTATTTTGGCATTGTTCCCCCATCATTCTTTTTCCTTCTCCCCTCTCTCCCTCGTCCTCCCCCCCTCTGACAATTCCTTGACTGCAGTCATGTTTTTGTGTATATGTATGCATATATGTGGATGTATATATCTATATATTTTTTAGGTCTAGATTCCACATATGAGAGAGAACATGTGACCTTTGTTCTTCTGAATCTGGCTTACTTCGTTTAACATCATGATCTCCAGTTTCATCCATTTTCCTGCAAAAACCATAATTTCAGTCTTCTTTATGGTTGAATAATTCTCCATTGTGTATATAAGTCACATTTTCTTTATCTGTTCATTGGTTGAAGGGCATCTAGGCTGATTCCAAAGCTTGAGTATTGTGAATAGTGCTTCAATAAACATGAGTGTGCAAGTGTCTCTATTGTATCTCATCTTATATTTCTTCAGATATATGCCCAAGAATGAGTATATATCACTGGGTCATGTGGTAGTTCTATCTTTAGTTTTTTGAAGATTCTCTGTGCAGCTTTTGATAGTGATTATACTAATTTACATTCTCACCAGCAGTGTATGAAGGGTTCTTTGTGATCCAATAGCTCAGCAAAAAAAGAGCAAGGACTGACAAATGGGACTACATAAAACTAAAAAGCCACTGCACAGCAAAGGAAACAGTCACTAGAATGAAGAGACAGCCCACGGAATGGGAGAAAACTTTTGCCATCTATACATCTGACAAGGGATTAGTAAGTAGAAGATACAAGAAGCTCAAAAGGCTAAACTTCAAAAAAACCAATAACCTGTGTGCTGGTTCCATGCTATTTTTGTTACTGTAGCTCTGTAGTGTAATTTGAAGTCAGGTATTGTGATATTTCTGGAATTGCCTTTTTTGTTCAGAATTGTTTTAGCTATTTAAGGTCTTTTGTGCGTCCTTATGAATTTTAGGATTGATTTTTCTGTTTCTGTGAAGAATGACATTAGAATTTTGAAGGAGATTGAATTGAACCCATAGATTGCTTTTGGTGTATAACTATTTTCACAATATCAATTCTGTCAATCCATAAACATGGTGAGTCTTTTTATCTTCTAGTGTTTACTTCTTTCCGTGTTCTGTATCCCTAATATCTTAACTGTAATATGACATGGAGAGGTTCTTTTCTGGTCTTGTCTGTTTGGTGTCCTTAAAGACTCCTATACCTGGATGACCATCTCTTTTTGAAGATCTGAGAAATTTTCTGCTCTTATTTTATTGAATATGTTTTATATGCCTTTAGCATGTACTTCTTCTCTTCTTCTATGCCCATGATTTATAGGTTTGGTCTTTTAGTGGTGTCCAAAAGTCTGGTATGTCCCATATGTACTTTAAAATTTTTTTCTTTACCTTTATATGAATGTTTGAATTCATTTATCTTGTCTTCAAGCCCTGGTATTCTGTCTTCAACATGGCCAGTGTATTGATTAGGTTTTCAACTAAGTTTTTAACTTCACTTAATGAGCTTTTAATTTTCAGAATTACAATTTGATTTTTTAAAAAAAAGATTGCTATGTATCTATTGAATTCTTCTTTTGGTTCCTGCATTATCTTCCTTATTTCATTCAGCTGTTTATTTGCATTCTTTCTGAATTCATCAAACTGTTATTTGTAATTCTCTTTGAATTCATTCAGGTGCTTATAGGTGTCCCCTTCAATTTCATTCTTAAAATCATCCTTTTGAATTCTTTAGGATATCCACTTCACTATCATTAGAGTCCATTCTTGTGGAATTGCTTATTTTTGGAGGAGTCATATTGAATTATTTTTTCATATTTCCTATGTTTTTATGTTGAGATTTTCACATCTAAGGCCAAGTCATTACTTAGGAATTTAAATCACTTGTCTTTCAGTTCAAGTATTCTTAATGTCTGAGCAGGACTGTTTGGTGGTAGGGTTTAGGTGCAGTTTCTTGCCACTGTAGTGGGGGTATAGCTGAGTAGGGAAACATTCAGCCAAACATTCATGCATATGCTGAGGACACCAGGTGTGATTCCTAGCACCACACAGATAGAGAAAAACTATCTGGAATCTCCTGTAGTTCCTAGTGTATGGGTTGAGGCTGTTATGTGGGTTAAGGAGAGGGCCAGTTAAGAGTCAGTTGTCCATTTCTGTGTTGCTTTCACTTTAGAAGCTTCTTTTCTTTGTGTAGTAGGAGCCACTGCTGGCCTTAAAGAACTTCACAGCCTGTGGGATGGGCAGGTTCCCACTTGCTCCTTAGGCTCTCAATTTGCAGCAAGTGTCAGACAGTATTTTTTAAAGTAAGCTTTTTACCCTTTTCTTTCATCCTTTTCTCATCAAACTCCCATAATTTGTATATTTAGATGCTTGGTGGATTTCCACAGGTCCTTATACTTTCTTTACTCTTTCATTTTCTTTTATTTTTTGTTATTAAAGTTGACTAATTTTATACTTGATAATATACAAGGAATATTTGTGGAGTATTGTTCTCAGTAGTTTCAAATTAGAACTCCATAGCAGAATGCAGGATTTGTGGCAAATATTTTGAAAGTTTCCAGAGCATCGGGGATGAAATGGCATCTCACATGGTTTAGATTTTTATTTTTCTAGTTACTAATGTAGTTGAGTACTTTTAATAAATTTATTGACACTTTGGAATTTCTCTCAGCACATTGAAGACATTCTATTGGCTTCCATTGTTGCTGCTGAGAATTGGTATGTATTCCCATTGCTACTCATTGGAAGGGAATAATTTTTCCCATATCGCTGATTTTTAAGATTCTCTCTTTGCATTGTGGCTTTGCTATGATTTATGTATAAGTGGATTTCCTTTTATTAATAGTTCACAATTAAGGACGCCCAGTAAAATTTTGAGCTTTGTCAAATATTGGTGATAAACTTACTTTTTTACTTTTTATTTTATTATTTTTGCAAATACTGACTTTATAGAAACAAAGAAGAGTGCTTAAAGTTTTTGCTCTTCATTTAAGAAGTATGGTCATTCATTAAAAGCATTTATTTGGAGTAATAGCTTATGTTTATTTTAACTATGAATCTGTATTACATAGAAAGGCAAGTCTATCTGTTTAAGTAGGAAAAGGTGAACATAGGAAAATATGTTAAGATGTTTTTTGGAAAGAAAAGGAACTCTTTGAGAATAGCAGGAGTGACTATTACTGGTAGTCACAAGAGAATGAGAGCACAATGGTATGTTTGCAAGATGGTAAGTCATCCAAATGTTTTGAGAGAGTGGAGTATGTAGCTATAGTCTTCTAATTTCTAGGAGATAGAGTCTCTATGTGACTTTAGTAGTCAGAATGAGAGCATAATAAAACATTATGAAGGAAATGGTAGCCTAAGGGAGGGGGCCATCCAGTGACCAGGACTTAAATAATATGGGGGTAGACAGGGGAAGTGCTGGGAGAGTATCTGAAAGTGAATTAGAGGGTAAGCTCACACTACTACTACTACTCACTGATGGTTATGTGCATAAGAATCTACCTACTTGTGGTCCTTTTTGATATTGATGGAATTTTAGTGTGAAAACAGTATGTGCTTCTGTGAAATCATATGCTTATGTTGTTTTGTGCCGTGGGACTCTGGTCACCTTGGAACAGAAGACGATCTAGACCCCACCACACGTTAGCAGTGTAGCCTGAGGGAAATTTCTTAATCTCTTTGAATATCTGTTTCCTCATATATAAAGATAAAACACTTAACTCACAAGTTTTTATGATGATTTGTTAATAAATGTAAGGTAAATTCAAGCACACTCAACAACTCTAGGGTGTTATCACTGTAGTTCTGCAATCAAAATACTTCTAATCTAACCTAATCCAACTCCATATCACTGAAATTATAGCTTTGATAATCATGGTTTGGGCCATTACTCGCAAGAAGACCCTGCAAAGGTAATTTTCCTCTGTATGTACATCTTAAAAAACTGTCTTCAGGTTGAGATCAACTATATTACATGGGAACTAGAAATAATGATGATCAAGACTTACAGATGGAATCTCAGATGACCCAGAACCCTGGGATGATTCACTTCGGTATTTATAGACTATTTTAAATTCCATATTGTCTATACATCAGTTTGTCAAAACCCTTTAATGATACCCCATCTTATAAATTGGAAATCCAAGTTATTGCAGAGCTCCCCTCCTCATTCTACTCCAAGTGCAAAAACCTCTTTAGTTTAGAACTTTGCTTAGAATTGGGGCTCTTTAGCTCCAGCTGTGCTTCCCAAAATAATTGTAAGGCTGTTAGGCATAATCTTGTGTGCAGGAGGAAATGAACAAGATCTAGAACATTTCTCATACTTGAGAGGGGCATATCAGTTTGTTTGGTCAGGATTATGGTAGGAGCAAAGTGATACTTGTGTTGTTAGATGGAAAAACAGCTAACCAGATTCAGATTCAACAAATGAACATTTGCCAATCATCTATCTAGGCATTTCAAGGGTGAATGAATTCTGATGATTGATTATTATAATCTTTTACATCCATAGAACCCCAAACCTGAAGAGATCAGGTCATTTGCATAGTTAACCATTTGGGATCCGAAATTAGGATTGGTGTACTTTTCTATTTTTCCTGTCATTAATGATGGTAAATGTGACTGTGAAGTGAAGCATATTATTTTATTAGCATTACCTTAATATTGTCACATGATCAACTGCGGAAATTAAAAAGAAGCAGATTTATTAAAAAAATAACTTGCAACAGAAGAATTTTTTAATGAAATGGCAAAATAGACCCACAAAATAAAAACAAAAACTACAGATACAGCAAAATGTTTCCTTCTTTTGGAAAGGATTACATGAGAAAGGAAAAGAAGTAAACCAGATTCTAGTCCTCTTATTTTTAAGGACAGAGTGAATAATTTTCTTGGGTTATTTGGTCAATGGGATTTTTCTGAGGCAGATTGCTTTGTTTTTAAAATGACTTTCCCTCATGATGCTTTAGAAGGTATTCGTTGCTCCACTGTAATGTTGCTTATTTTAGAGGATTTTTCTTCAACTGAGTGGACTCGCAGTGAAAGGACATTCCCAAGTTGATCTAGTTCTTCAACTACTGTTTTGATGAATGTTTCTTCTGTTGAGTCTGAAATAAAACAAATGAAAGTTCAGTGATCATTCTTTAGTTTTTTCTTTCTTTCTCCTTTTATTTTATCATTTTCAGCAATCACTCTTAACAGGATGAAAAGTGTTTAGTCATGATAGGTATGCTTTTAAAAATTGTTTTTTGCATTTCCAAAGAAATAAGATATAATACTATGTGTGAAGTCAGACTTAAAACTAATATTTTAAAGCAATTTTTTATCAGATTTTTTTTAGAGCAGAGGGTGTTTAAAAATATAAATGAAATATGGATTAAAGCAAACTAAGCATCAGATAAGTTTAGGATAGGTCTGTAGCAAGTCAGGCTTTCTTTTTGATACCAACTTGCCCTATTTTTGTGGTTTAAAATAAAGGAAGTCTTATCAAAGAATTGAATTCATGAAAAAATGTTTCAAATAAGAATGATATTGAGGGATTGATTCTTCATTTTAGTAATTTGACAATACCCATTCTACAAGGCTATAAAATACAAATATTGTCATGATGACCTGTCATCTCTTTATTCACTATAACAAAATTGAGAAATTTTATTAAGTTAACAAATAATCACTTATTTAATAAAACTGAAGGACTCTAAAGAATGTAAAGTGAAACTCTTTCTTTACCTTTGATTTGATTTCCAGAATTTATAGGCCTGCTTCCTTTTGATTTATAACATGTGGATTTGCTTTTTCTGTGAAGAGAAGAGTAAATTACTGCATTTTTTCTTTCAATAGGGAACTTGTAACTATAAATTGGGAGTAAGCAGTTTGGAGTTCCAAAGTTTAAATCAATAAGATTTAAATTCATCTATATTTAAGGAATATTAGTAAGCTTTGCATGACTTCAGAGTGAAAAAGAGTTAAATGGATGTGTATGATCAGAAATTTCTTCACAACCAGACACTATCTCTTTTGTCTAGCAATATGGGAACATCAAATTCTGATTCTGAATTTTCATTTAACCAGCCAATGAACATGTTTGAAGTTCCTATTGAATAGAAGGGGTTGGGTTAGGTGCTACAGAAAATATAGCGGTGAGAAATTCCAGTAGTTTACACCGTTAGAAATAAAACATCTTGATGTAAAAGGTTATGTATAGCATTGCTGTGCTGTCAGTAAAGTGACAAATGAATGGTGTCTCAGTACTTTGTTTTGAGAAAGGAGTCATCACTGTTGGGTTCTTAAGAGGATAGGCTGTAGAGGGCTCACCCTGGCCTTGGAGAGGCAGAAGATATTCCCCATTGTGTGACCGACTGCAGGCAAGCGTCCTTTTATGTATGTGTGAGCCATGGTCAAAGCACTTTACCTATACAGTAAGTGCTGTGGCTGAGAGCAGTTAAGAGTATGGTTTTGGTGTTATCACAACTTTACCAATGAGGAAACTGTGGCTCAAAGACGTTAAACCACGTGGTGTGAGTCATACTCAGGGCTGCAATTCTAGAGTTTTTTTTTTGCACTTGGTTAACAAACTATGGAGCCTTTCCAATGAAATCTTCCTTCTCATCATTGCTCAACTTTGATAAGGGTATGTGTGGGGTAACTAGTGAAGTAATAATAAAATAAGGTGAGTTATTATAAAAATGTATTTAAGCACAAATCACAGAAAGTAATGCTTCCTTTGGGTCAGAGTACTGGAATTCTTAAGTATTCCACATTTAATTGTCCTTTATATAATTGTACATATAAATACTTTACATACTTAAAAATCTTAATTTTCAAATTTCTGCCTTCTTTCATTTCACTTGGATGCAACTATATATAAAACTATATATAACTATATTTATATGTATATAAAACTGAGGCTATATGTGAATATGACCTTTAAGAAATTCTAGGATTATAATATTGGTAGAGTACACTGAGAAAAATCTGGTTGCTGTGAGGTTAATTTTTTTCACAAGTTAAAGTTTACCTTTCTTCTCCATCTAGTAAGTTGCAATATGTTTCAATCTCTTTTTCCAAAAATGTTTTGATATTGAGAAGCCGTTCATGCTCCATCTTCTGGCCCTCTGTTTCTGTTCGGATCTGTTGTAAATTTTCCTCCCGTACCCCAATCTGATCCTGAATTTGTTGGAGTTGAAAACAGTAATTTCCTTCGGTCTCAGCCAAGGAACATTCATAGGATTGTTTCTGAAAGAAGAATGAAGTAAGGCTTAAAAGAGAAAGGCATGTTTGTATTTTAAACATTCTCAAGGTAGAAAGAAATACTTGAACAAGGCCTAAGTATTTTCTATTGAAAACCGAAAGTGGGGTCTGGGCTTGGAGAAAAAAAATGAAAAACCAAAGAAAAAGAAAATCAAACTTGGTAAGATTTTAAAAAATATTTCCTCTCCATTGAAAAGAAAAATCATCTTTTCAAGTTTTAGTATTGGTGGGTCAAAGAATTCTTGATATTTAATATACTTTATATTATTAGTCATATATAATTACATATATTGTACTTGTATATGTTATACGCATATTTACTTACCTATGCACACACATTGCTTTGGTTTGGAGATAGTCTGAGTGCATCTCCCAGGAGTTTGTGTATTGGAAACTTTGTCTCAGTGTGATGTTAAGAGGTGCTGGGACCTTTAAGAGCTGAGTCTAGTGGGAAGTGATTAGGTCATTGAGGGTGCTGCTTAGGAAGACATTGATACAGTTCTCCAAGGATCCTAATTAGTTCTCCTGAGAAGGATGTTATAAAAGATGAGCCTGGCCTTTCCTTGTGCTCCAGCTTCCTGTCTTGTCATCTGATCTCTCCCTCTTGTATGTGCTTCTGCCATGATGCCACCCACCACAATGTGTTGTAGGGGAGCTCTGGTGCTAGGCTATTTGAACTGGTGTCATTCAATTTAAACTTTCAGCCCCCAAAATTATGAGCTGGTGCAATCCATTTTCCTTTTCAGCCTTCAAAACTGATCTAAATAAACTCCTTTTCTTTACAAAGTATCCAGACTTAAGTATTTAGTTATAGTAATGGCAAATGGACTAATATGCACACATGTTCAATTAAATAGCAATTCCTACATACCAGAGCCACAAGGGACTGAAGTTCTATTTCCAGGGTCTGCAGATTGCGTTTCAGTTCTGTCAGCTCATTTCTGGCTACTGTGACTGCTCCGGCACCATCCGAAATCTGTTGTTGCAGTGATGCACTCTGAAGTGGAATTGTCAGAAGGATTAGTGACCAGCTTGACTGTCTACTGAACCAGCCCCTCCTGTATAATTTGCATAGGTGTACCTTCTCATTAAAGCAGGCCTCAGCATCTCTGCGGTTCTGCTCAGCCAGTTCCTCATACTCTGCCCTCATGTTGTTCAACAGAGCAGTTAGGTCCACTCCTGGGGCTGCATTCATTTCCACATTCACGTTCCCTCCAGATGCACATTGTAGGACTTCCATTTCCTGGGAAGGGGTCAGCATTAATATTCAAAGAAGGATTTTGATTGATACTGGCACTCTGCTATGAAATGAATAGAGTACTTGAGGAAGGAAATCAGACATTGTACAGAGCTGTTGTGCAGGCCTCCTTACCTCCTCATGGTTTTTTTGGAGGTACGTTAGTTCCTCACTGAGGGTCTCACATTGCATCTCCAAGTCAGTTGTGAAAAGGGTCAACTCATCCAACACTCTGCGAAGACCACTAGTGTCGGCTTCAACACTCTGGTGTAGAGCAAGCTCATTTTCATATCTTAAAGATCATTAAGGATTGTAAGTATAGACAGATGCAAGGCGCAGCTTGTAAAGACATTTCATATGCAAAAGATGTGACATTCTAAACATCCTTCTGAACTTATGATGGCAAACTGTTAAGATAGCTTGAGATACCTACTAATTTATGAATTTTATTTTAGAGAAATTATTTCTTCAGAGGTGATTTTTTGTTATCCAATGTGTTTAACAATTGCATAAAATATTGCTAGATGTAAAATTTTGATGATAGCTCTCTTTATAAGGACATATGCTATTTATTTAACCTAGAATCATTTTATTGAAACACTTGGTAAAAGCAAAAGATATGTTCTTTAATTCAACATTAGTATTTTTACTAATAAATACAGCATAATTAATGACTGTATTTTCACTTACTTCATTCTGAAGTCATCAGCGGTCAGTCTGGCATTGTCATTTTGTAGGACAATGCTGGCATTACAGGCAGTTGCAGAAATAATCTAAATAGGGTAAATTGTGCAAAATGTTAAGTGTCAAAAATCAAAGGATCCTCCAGATTTCAGTATGACTCCACAGTGAGCATTTATTTTTTTCTTTTCTTTTTTCTCCTTTTATTTTATCATTTTTACATTTACTTACATGTGTATACATTGTTTGTTCCACCTCTCCCCCACAACCTTCCCCTTTCAGGCTGAACCTGTTCCACCCTCTTCTTTTCTGATTTTGTTGAAGAGAAAGTATAAGAGATAATAAGAAAGATGTAGCATTTTTGTTAGTTTGGGATTTTTTTCTTATGTCATTATATTTCCTTTTTTTTTTATTGTGTGGCATTACAACACAACATGTATCAAATATATCATACTTGAATTCATCCCCTCCATCATTCTTCTTCCCTCCTACCCCCATTCCTGGAATAGTTTCAACAGGTCTCATTTTTTCATTTTTACATGTGTGTACAGTGTTTGCACCATATTCACCCTCCTTCACCCTGTCCTCACCTCCTTCCCCCTCCCACTGCTAACACCCTCCCCCATCAAGGCAGGATCTGTTCCACCCTCCTGTTCTCCAATTTTGTATAAGAAAAAAATAAGAAAATGACTTTTTTGCTTATTTAAGATAACACAGTAAGCATTTATATTAGCATCATTTTTTCTATGTTAAAAAAATCTAGATTTTCTTCAGATAGTAAATGTTCAGAGTTAAGAGTCACATGGATACTTTTATTGCTCTTGATCAAAAGGTCTGACAATGTAAAAACAACAAAGTGATTGCATCTTTTGAAACTGTTTCCATTTCATTATATAATTCTACATTTTTTTTCTATCGCCAGGTACTTCCCTTAGCACTGGGAACACAGAGTGAACAAATTCTACATCCCATAAATTTGTTAAATACATTTTATATTTTCTCTTCTTTAAGTCATGCCCACCAGAAGTCTGTAGCAGAACTATGGAAATCCATATTTCTTACCTGTTTTTTCAGGTCTTCAATGACTGAGAAATATCTGCTGTGGTCGTAATCAAGTCCCCGGCAACAGCCAGGCCCAAATTTCTCATACCAGCCCTTGATCTTCTGCTCTAGGTCTGCATTGATCTGCTCCAGAGCACGCACGTGGTCCAGGTAGGATGCCAGGCGGTCGTTGAGGTTCTGCATGGTCACCTTCTCATTTCCAGAGAGGAGACCAGATTCATTTCCAAGAAAACCAGTGCAACCAATGCTTCCTATTGCTCCACCATCATTGCAAAAGCTCCCTCCAGAAGAAACACCTCCAAGAGTGCAAGAAAAGCTGCCTCCTGCTCCCGGCCCAACACACACATTCCCAGGCACAAAGCCCATCCCTCCACCGGACAGCCTGACAGTCCCAGTTCCCGGGCAGATCTGCCTGGATCCACCAGAAAGTTGAAAAGACATGATGAAATCTCAGCCCAGCAACCCTTTTCCAGAGAAGAGCAAAGACACAGTCTACCTTGCAGATGTGGCTCTATTGGTCTTTTATAGGATCCAGTAGCCATGTCAATCTCTGTAATAAAACATTACTAGCATCCTAATTGTTGTTTTTCATAATTGGGTGACTTTTAATATTGTCCAGTAGGTGGCAAAGTGCCTCAAGGATATTTTTATATAGGAAAAAGATGCCAGGTAGAGTAATACTAAAATCGCAGCTTCAAAGTGTTAGTAATACAAAATTATAGTCTCACAGATCACAGAACTCATTTCTTTTACAAAAAAATGTAAATATACTTTTTTTTGAGGGTCTCTGTAGCTTAGGCTGGCTTGGAGATCCATATGCATATTCTCTCTCTCTCTCTCTCTCTCTCTCTCTGTCTCCTTGGAACTCTTTATGTAGCCCAGGCTAGCCTTGAACTTACAGTCCTCCTGCCTTAGCCTCCTAGTTGATAGGATTACAGGTGTACACTAACTACTCCTGGCTTTGTACAACTTTTTGACCTCTGGAATAGACTCCAGATTTCCCCTATAAGAATTAATGATTCAAATGAAAAATGTTTACTACTTTTGTCCTGCAGATGCACATAGAGTATCACTGTTATTCGTACTTTATGGAGTGTTTTCTTTCTTATTGAAATCAGAGATTCTAGTGATCTTTTAATAGTGGAAGTTTTTAAATTGATTTTTTAAAAACTGAAAGCAAATATTAGAAATCCTACAGTAACTTGCATATCATTCTCACCAAAAGTCATGAATATGTGGTGTCTGTCAATGGAGATTTGCATTGAGATTTCTTTCTTTCTTTCTTTTGCGGTACTGGGGCTTGAACTTGGGGCCTACACTTTCAGTCATTCCACTAGCCCTTTTTTTGTGAGGGGCTTTTTCAAGATAGGGTCTCACAAACTATTTGCCAGGGCTGGCTTTGAACCTTGAACCTCCTGATCTCTGCCTCCTGAGTAGCTAGGATTATAGGCCTGAGCCACCGGCGCCCAGCTGCATTAAGATTTCTTGACTTGATCTAGGAGCGTAACTTCAATTCAACTAACTTCTGAGTCTCCAAATTGTTCACACTTCCCTACCTCAAAAATATTATTTACTGTCCTTTACTTTGCATTATGAATTATTTTGAGATGAGCTGAAATATATGATGGGCGAGAGGGATGGTTCCATCGCTACCTAAAAAATCCGTAATTATGGTACCTGGGAGATTAGCCGTCATGGGGAAGCAGACTCTTTCTTCTCTTGCCTTAATGTTCTTGGGAAAATAACCAGTCTCCTTGTACTTCACTTCCCTACAAAGCAAATGAACATAAATAGCATCTAAGAGTCTCAGTTGAAGACTCCTCTAATAATGAATGACTGATACAGTCTGAATGACAGACATTTTGTAAATATCAATTATTTATATTATAATAAAGTGGACATGTCAGACAAGGTCAGGTTCTCTATCACTTACAATGGTACAAATTGATTGGTCAACTGATTACAGATTTAGTTTTGAAACAATAATTTTTTTCTTGACAGATTTTTAATGTTGTGGATGTTGAATACCTTGAAAACACCAAATGTTATTCTCACTAGAAGAGGGAATATCTAATAGATTAGAATGCATAGATTTTTTTTTACAGCAAATATTTGAAAATAACTAATGTATGACTAATTCAGACCATTGGTCCAGGTTTAGAACAGTGCATGATAAGAGGTACAACTGATATTTAGAGACTTATTACTGATTTTGTTGTGACCTGGTCAAACTTTTAATCTTTTGTTCATGTTTCCCATGGAAAAAAACAAGAAAAATAGAATATGTTGTCAGTGTGATGGTTATTAAGGTTTGAGTTTCTTAGATAAGAAGTAGTATGAGGCTGCAAAGTATTATTAACATAATGTCTAGATAGTTTACAAATACTAATTAACTTATCATCTTTTGTGATATGTTTAGCATATGTCATTAGAACCATTTGGGAGATGAGTTGGCTCTCAAACTAAAGTAGCAACATAGATCACAGACCACTTCTCCACCAAAGCTGGAGTGCAACATATGATATTTAACTCCTTGAAACATTGTCACTCCTAGGTAAGTCTCTTGAAATCTCTTAATCACAGACTTCCTCTAAACTAATACATTAAAAGTTAAGGTATGTTTTAGTCTTCTCTAGAAGTGGAGGATAGATTTAATAGATTCCTTGGGCCACTTTTGTCTGTATGCTTATATTTTGACATTGGTTATTTTACTCATGGTAAGAAATCAGTATCCAGCAACATTTATCATTTCTTGAGACTCTATTAGGTATTAGTGTTACATAATATGCAGATCCTAGGTATTCAAAAGAATTGAATTGAGTTAAACTTTAAATTATCCTGTGTCAGTGTCTCCTTATTTCAGGATAAGGTTTTTAATTTTGTTATCTTACTGTCATGACCATATGCTAATTTCTCCCTTGAAAAACTTAGTTTCAAGTATGCCATTAAAATTCACTTCCTACATTCTTGTTATCCAAACTTTTTAGAAAAGCATTTTTCTTGAACACAAAAATGAGATTTTTTTCTTACTACATTGCTAGTTGTTTTGTTTTTTCTTCCTTCCTTCCTTCCTTTCTTCTCCACCTCCTCCCACCTTCCTTCCATCTCCCTTCCTTCTCCTCCCCCTCCTTTCTCCTCCTCCTCTTCCTCCTACTCCTTCTTCCTCTTCTTCTCTCTCTCTCTCTCCCCTCCCCCCACCCAGGGCTTTTCTATGTAGCCCAGTCTGGCCTTGAATTCATGATCCTCTTGCCTATGTCTACCAAGTGCTGGGGAGGATTCCTAGTTTTCTGAGAATCAGATTTGGGTGTGCTGATTCTTCCCACCAAATGGCTCCCCTGCTTTGGGGAGAGGGAGACTGACAGCTCTGCTAATCGCAGACTGACTGGAGTTAGCACTCTCTTCTCCTGCTAGAAGGAAGGTAGTCATGAAGTTCTCATCGGCATGGCGTCATGTCATGGACTCTAAGCCAGACTGTCTGGATCTCAACACCTCCAGTTACGAGCTGTGTGATTCTGGGCAAATTACTCAAATTACCCTGTTTCCTTACCTGTAAAATGAAGATGAGGATTAAATGATATTTAGAACAGTGCCTAGCGCATGGTAAGTGCTGGTTAACAATTATTATTTCCTGCAAGTTTTATTTAAAAGTCCTCAATATACTCCCTTATTCTCTTAACTTGGCTCTAGAAGTAAGAGTTTATTTCATGAGTTGTGATGAGTTAGTGGTCACACATGTCAAATACTAAAGAAATCTGAACTAAGTATTTAAAAATTAAAAAAAAAGAATACTTTTTTAGAGAAATTTTATGTTCACAGCAAAATTGAGAGGAAGGTATGGAACTTTCCCATGTACTCCCAGCCTTTCCAAATGCAGAGCCTCCCCCATTCTCCACGTCCCCCACCAGAGTGGTATATGTGTTCCACCTGACGAACCTACACGCCACACCATAATCTCCTGAAGCCCATAGCTTACATTCAGGTTCACTTTTGGCCTTTTGCATTCTACGGTTTTAGACAATTGTGTAATGACATGTGTCTACCCCATAGCACCATTCAAAGTATTTTCACTATCCCAAAATCCTCTGGTTTTGTCTTCTTATCCTCCCTCCCACCCTATGGCAAACAAGGATCTTTTTATGGTATCTATAGTTTTGTCTTTTCCAGATGCCATATAGTTGGAATCATATAGTATGCAGTCTTTTCATATAAGTTTCTATCACTTAGTAATAAGTGTTCAAGTTTCCTCTGTGTCTTCCCATGACTTGATATCCCATTTCTTTTTGACATTGAATATTCTTCCATTATTCGGATCTACTTACTTTCTTGACCCATTCACCAACTAAAGGACATTTGGATTGCTTCCAAGCTTTGGCAATTAATGAATAAAGTGACTATGAATGTATCTGTTCAGGTTTTTGTGTGGACATACACTTTCAACTCCTTTGGATAAAGGAATCAAGGATCCAGTGATTGCTAGACTAGATGGTAAGAATATGGTTGGTTTTTGTAAGAACCTGCCAAATTGTCCTCCAAAAGTGTTTTTGACTATGGAACCACATGGTAAGATGTTTTCTTCTGATTTTGATAGAAGTGTACAAGATGTGAAGACCAGTTAATTAGAAAGCCATGTGAGAAGGGGAATATTTGCTTTAGGTTTACCTGTGTATTTTTAAATGTTTGTGGGAAAGATGGCTTGTAAACAATTGTTACTCAACTAATGCTAAACTGTCCTGCAGAATTCAGCAATAGGTACTATTTCTTAAGAAAATGCAGGTTGTTCCTTCTGTGGGTTGATGTGTGGGAGCCCAAGTCCCTCATTCTTAAATAAGCATATGGAGGGGTTTCTGCTGTGTTTATACCTCCTCCTGCTTCCATGAAGCCTTAAATCATGGGCTAGAGAAATAGATTCATTGATGAACTATTTTACTTAAAATTATATTGGACTTGAGAGAAACATTGCTCTGCAGGCTTAGGTGGCAAAAACTGAACAAGGATTTGTGAATCCTTACCTTCATGGTAGAAGGACTAAGATTATGACTTAGACTTCCACTGGAATTCTTCACTCACCCCAGTCCCCATATCTTTCTCTTTTCCCTTTTTCTTTCAGAAATCAGCATGTAGAGGCTTTCCTTTATGTTAAGGATGTTTGTGAGTCTTTAGTCCCTTATTTTTACCTCCATGAACATGTTGAACTCAGGAACTTGATTTTGTTAACTAGTCATTCTCATGACCTGGCACTCCGTGTGTATTCAGTATGGAAGACAAAAATTTACAGAAATGTGAAAAAGATTGCAACTAGTTTGTATGTTAAACTTTCTTATGTGTGAAGACCACTGAATTAAACAAGAAATTAAAGAGAAAATTCAGCTCCCATTGGAGGGTATATTTAAAATGCAAAGATTGGCCAGAACCAGAGAAGGTAACTTGCAACAGGAAGAACTTTTATTGAAACACCACCTTAGAGAAAGTCAAAGAAATGCTACTATCCTAAAAAGAGCTTGTCTTGATTCATTGGAATAACAACAGAAAAATAAGAGGACCCTTATTAAGAAGCTAGTGTTTTCATTAAAGGGCTGTTCTTTTCATGGGGGCTGCAGTTTAAGAAGGCACCCTCTGTTCGCTCTTGCTGCCTTTGGTGGATTTCTCTTCCAGGGTGTGAATTCTGGATGAGAGAACTTTGCCACGAGGATCTAGTTCTTCAACAACTGTTTTAACAATGGCAGTTTTAGATGAATCTAAAATGACACATATCAACTATTAGAATTTATTAAATTCATGAATAGGAAATAACTCATCAATTGAAACACATATCAAAAAAGGAAGAAAGAAAACACATGGACTGTTTCAGACAGCTTTTATTTACCTTTTATCTGATTTCCTGATCCTCCCTGGCCTTTTGATTTGGAACAAGCACTGTGAAAATAGATTTTGCATTGATTATTTCAGTGTGGGTTTTGCTAAGGAAATCAAAAAGACACTAATTTAAAGTATGAGTTCATTAAATGTTGCAATGGTATTAGAAGGGTGTTTCCCACACATGATCTGGATTGTAGGTACTTTGTACTTGATTTCAAATAATCTTTAATAATCTTAAGATAAATGATCTTCTAAGTGGAAGTGGTACTTACCCATCATCTCCATCTATCAGGCGACAGTAGGTCTCAATTTCCTTCTCCAGGTGGGCCTTGATGTCCAGCAGCTGCTCATGCTCCAGCTTCTGGCCCTCAGTCTCAGTCCTGACCTGGTGCAGCTGCTCCTCCAGGGCCCCGATCTGAGCCTGGATCTGCGCCAGCTGTGAGCAGTAGTTGCCCTCGGTCTCAGTCAAGGAGCACTCCAGGGACTGTTTCTGAGGTTTGGTAAGACATAATTTTGTAGAAAATGTCACCATACTGTTTCAGAATAAGCCAAATCACTTATGAGATTCATTAAGAGATTTATCCTTACATAAAGCAAACAATCACATTCATCTAAAAGATTTCATTTGTTCATATTAATTATCGCATTTGTTAATTTGAAATGCAAATTTTAAATTTGCATTTTTTAAAATTTGAAAATAACACAGTTATTTGTGTTATTTTCATAGGCCCATGTGATAAAAAATGTAAAACTGTTTCTTCCTAGGGCACAGTCTAAAGATCCCTAACTCACATACCAACATATCCTGTGTTTGTGAGATCTGGTACAATTTGCCATGTTACCCAGGAGTAAAAGTCCCCTACACTTTACTAACTCATTTAAAAAAAAAAGTTTTATTTTTTTATTATTCATATGTGCATACAATACTTGGGTCATTTCTCCCCCCTGCTCCCACCCCCTCCTTACCACCCACTCTGCCCCCTCCCCCTCCCCCCCATACCCGGCAGAAACTATTTTGTCCTTATCTCTAATTTTGACTAACTCATTTTTAATTGTGTGACAGCCTTGTCTCATGAGAATTGTAGCTCTTCTATGAAAAAAAAAATCCTATAGTCAATTGCATGACCTTTGTATAAGTAGAAGGATCCAAAGAAAAGAACTGTCCTTTAAGTGTTAAAGTTTGTGAACCCAGATGAGTTTCTATAGATCCACAGAGGGAGCACATGCTATGCTTTTACATGGAATGAAGATGAGAGCATTTTACCCTTTCACATGCAAGTGTTTTTACACAACTGACTCTACCATTCATACTCCCTTTTGTGAATAAACTCTGGAGGTTTCTTAGCCATAGCAGGAAAGGTATAGACCTGGGAATTAGAACATTTGGACAGCGACTTTTGTTCCTTCATCTCCAGCGGTGGGACTCTAGGAATGGGAAATGGCTTAATGTCTTTGAATCTCAGACTCTCTTTTTGGAGATAATGGCATGAGTCATAAAGGTTGTCTGCCTATGCCTCAGGGTTAATTGTGGACTAACGAGGGTGAAACCACTGGGCAAACCCTTAATGAAAACGGTTATTATTATCATTATGCATGGATAGCTTAGAGTCAGCCTTCACACCTCTACTTTGCTTTTGTTTATGGCCACTTAAAAGGAACTTAAGTGCTCTTAATTAACTTGCCAAAAAGAATGGTAGATGAGGAACCCAGGAAAGGTATAAACATATCTTTGTTCTCCACAGACAGTGTTTTTTTTTTTTTTAATCTTTTGACTTGGGAGAGAAGATTTAGGGTAAAAATGATTTTCTTTTTTGAGTACCTCAAAATAATTGTATTTGTTCATTTCTAGTGCTTCACAATTATTATCATCTAGGCATAACTTCCAGGCAGAGAAATATAATACACAAAAAGCAAATGTGTCTTATGTCTACATGGAAATTAATGCAGAAAATCCAAAATAAGAAATACTAACTGGAAGGAAATCCTCCGTTTTGTGCTTTGTACTTACCATTGCCAAAAGCGACTGCAGTTCAATCTCCAGGGTTTGAAGAGTGCGTTTCATCTCAGTAAGTTCATTCCTAGCTGAGGTGGTGGCACCAGCGTCATCGGAAATCTGCTGCTGCAGCGAAGCGCTCTGCCAAGTCAGGGGCAGGTGTTAAGACCGTGTAGGTTGCAAACGCATACAGTGCCAGGTACACAGGGCCCCAGCCTGGCTTTACCTTTTCATTGAACCAGGTCTCGGCGTCCCTGCGGTTCTGCTCGGCCAGGGCTTCGTACTCAGCTCGCATGTTGTTCAGCAGAACCGTGAGGTCCACCCCGGGGGCCGCGTTCATCTCCACGTTCACGTTGCCTCCAGCTGCACACTGCAGAGCCTTCATTTCCTGAGAGATTTATTTAACCACATTAGGGTCTGACTATTTGTAAAGGAGCTGGAGGGACAGGATCCATACGGTTAGAAGCTTTTGTGGGGTTTGTTTTTTTCAAGAGGGAAGCATATACACATTTCAAAGCCATTGGGAGAAACTGACAAGCCCCTTCTTGATATTAATTTAACATGTGATATTTATCATCTGAAACTAATTTTTAGTTTTGGTAGGGAAGTGGGCTGTGAAAGCCAGCGAGGAAGAGTGTCTACCTCTTCATGATTCTTCTTGAGGTAGGCCAGCTCCTCGGTGAGGGTTTCCAGCTGGACCTCCAGGTCGGTTCTGCACAAGGTTAGCTCATCCAGGACTCTGCGCAAGCCATTGATGTCTGCCTCAACGCTCTGGTGAAGGGCCAGTTCATTTTCAAACCTGAGAGATGCGTTTGAAAGACTCATTCTTAGTCATTCACTAGCCATTAGTTCATATCATGGTTTAGATCATAAAACTCAAACTAAGCTTTGAGGTCATACTGTTAAAATCACACATAAAGCCTCAGTTAGATCACCCACAATGCAATAAATGCATTTATTTGAAGTAGGAAAATGGGAATATTCAAAATTCTTTTTCCTGTGACCTTGACATTCCTTTGGGATAGGCCCTAAACTTCCCAAGTAAAATAGGTTATTTAACATGACTATGCTCCTATGCATTTAGTTTAAAATGAATAATACAAAAAACCACAAAGCATAGAGCTGATTTTTAGTAGCCTAAATAAAAAGAGGGAAATGCTTAGATAATTTTTGTCTGTTTCTCTCCAGCTCTACTTACTTCAGTCTGAAGTCATCAGCCGTTAGTCTTGCGTTATCATTTTGTAGGACAATATTGGCATTACTTGTAGTGGCAGAAATGATCTGATTAAAGGAGAGTAGTTAAGAGTGAGGAAATATGTTTAAAAATTCAAATTTCCTTGAAATACAGTTACTTATGAAATTACAGTAATGTTTCTGCCATCTATATCAATAATTAGATGATTGTCTAGAAAGCAGGAAATTGAGGGTTGGCCTCTTTTATTCCCCACTATATCCATTAAAAAAAATCTCTTTTCTATGGAAAAGCTTATAAATACATCATTGGAGACACAGTTAGTTTTTGATATTTTAATATGACTAAAAAACATACAGGCCTATCTAATACCAGATGATGGGTAGGCCATGTTGAAAAGATTAGAATTTTAATAGAAATAGTTTTTAATATTGACAATAAACTACAAAAATTTAGACGCCCTGTGGGGAAAGCTTATATATGTGCATAAATGTGGCTAAATACTCTAGAGAATGCTAACACCCGAGACATTGTGTTTCTTACCTGGTTTCTAAGGTCATCAATTATTGGAAAGTATCTGCTGTAATCATGATCAAGACCGCGGCAAGAACCAGGTCCAAATTTCTCATACCAACCCTTGATCTTCTGCTCCAAGTCAGCATTGGCCTCCTCTAGTGCTTGAACGTTGTCCAGATAGGAGGCCAGGCGATCATTGAGGTTCTGCATGGTCACCTTCTCATTGCCAGAGAGGAGGCCGTGCTCACTCCCTGTGAAGGCAGTGCAAGAAGCACTTCCCCCACCCAGGCCTCCGCCATAGCCTCCTGCTGAGGAGCTACCCCCAAAGGCACACGAAAAGCCACTTCCAATGCCTGGCACACCACATGTGTTTCCGGCCCCAAAGCCTGATGCTCCACTAGAGAGCCTCACAGAACCCAGCCTTCTGGATGCAGAAGAAAAGCGCACAGACATGGTGCTGGACTGGACTGGAGTGATGCTCAGATGGTGGCTGTCCTACTCAGTTTCATTTGCTTTATATACACATTGTTAGGGTGTTTCTTGATGAACTTTGCAACTCATAGCAAAATGGTGTTTGCCAGCTCACTGTGAATTATCCATAATTGGGTGATTTTTCTTTTAATGAATGTCTTTATCCAACTGTGTCTATTTCTGTAGGTGGATAGTTACCTTGGGGTTATTTGTTATCTCTGGAATGGGACAGGGTGGAGTATTATCAAGGTTATTATAGGGATGCCTTTCAAATTTGGTGTGAGTAACCCTTCCTGTCTTCCAGGCTTCAGGAATGTAAAATTCCTATAAGAATTTAAAAAAAAAGTGTGACAGACACATTTCTCTTTCCTTTGCCCAAACTAATAACATCTCATTTCTTCAGCAAGTGAAACATCATATTCATAGTTTTCTCTCAAATATGCTGAAAACAATTTTCAACTGGAGGAAGGAGGTCAGGTGCTAACTGAAAATTGAGGAAGTATATGGTATCTTCTTTGGAGACAGAAAGTTTTCCTTTGTTCTTTATCCTTTCTGAATTATCACTTAATCTGTCTTGGTTATTGTCTAAGCTCTGGTGCTAATCAGGTTATGTAAGGAAATTGGTTAACCTCTCTGGACCTCAGCTTCCTCAGCTATAAATGAAGGCCTTAGATTATAGCCCCTGTGTTCTCTTTCTACCTCTAGCTATCTGCCTGATATTTCTACATTTCTTCCTTTCTCTATTCCTAGAATGGTTTTCTGTATTTATGTCCTTTACTTTTCACCTCAACTCATTCTTGAATTTTTTGGTCCTACTACTTTAGAGATTTTATGATTAAAGTCACTAACCACCACACATCTACAATCCAATCATTGTTTCTTGGTTGCATTAGGTGCTGGCCACCTCAGTCAGACTGAATTTCAGTAATTGCTTTCAGAAAATTATTCTACATCTCTGATTGAGAACCCTTTTCTCTTCCATTCATAACCTCTGCATCCTTTCCATTTTTGTGCTTGGCATGTAAAACTTTTCTTGATTTAACACTACCCTTATTGACTAACTAAGAATACATATTTTAATATTCCTAACTGAAGTTTTCCTGATCTTGAACAAGGGACCCCACATTTTCATTTTGTACTGGGTCCCCAAAATTATTTAGCCAGCTGTCATTGTTGGGTCTTTCTCTGGGGAAAATGAAGGATCCTAGAATAAAGGACTTCCAGATTTGTATATTTGAGCAGTCCTCATTAAAGGAAGGTCACTACACAACTGCCTTGAAATGAAATACACACACATACCTCCAAATATTTAACCCCTTCATCTTGAAAATGAGCAAAATTCCAAACATTACCTTTCATTGAACACAATCTGACATAGCAGACAGGCTCAAGGAGACAAATAAAAAATAGTACTCTGGGAAACAGAGATAATAAAAAAAGGTGAAGAAAACCTTAAAAATGAAACTACTTATTATTTGTAACTATTCATAACTTATAACTACTTATTGCCCTTAAAAATAATATAATACTGCATATTCTAAACATGAATAAAATAATTAAAATTAAACAGCAAGTACAAGAAAGAACTCTTAGAATTAAAAATTAATTTTCCAAATAAAACTCCAATACATGAGTTGGCAAAGGATCTGTGAAAAAAATCTAAAAAAGTAGAAGAAGAAGATCAAAAGATGGATGAAAGTTTAGAAAATTAGAGGGTTGGCCAAATGTTAAGTAGGTCTTCTGGAATGAAGAAAGGGAGGAATGATGAAGAAATTATTCTATAAAAATTCTAGATTATTAGAATTATAAGTTGAAAGAGACCACCAAAAACCATGAACAGAAAAAGAAAACAACCACAGGCAAGTCTTGTGGAGGGGAATTTCAGAGAACCATAGAGAAAAAGAGAACACCTAAAATGTCAGGAGACAAAAACAACAGATGTCCAAGGATATATATGACATATATATGTGTATACACACACACACACACACACACACACACACACACACACACACACGGCTTCTAGGGAAGAATGCCTTCAAGATTCTAACCACAATGATGTGCAAACTACAGCTTTCTACCTTGACAATTCCAAGTGAGAATGGAATAAAAATATATTCAGACAAGAAAGATCTTAAAAATTTACTTCTCTTGCACACTTTGTCAGGAAACTTAGAATGCAGAAAAGGAATCTCAATATTAATGAACATCCCTGAATGATGGCTGGGTAGCAGTTTAAAAAATACATAGCCCTAATTGGGCATGCTGGTACACGCCTGTAATTCTAGCACTCACAAAGTAGAGGCAGGAGGATTGAAAGTTGCAGGCTAGCCTGAGCTATATTGTGGTACCCTGTTCACACTCCTCCCCCACCTAAGAAAAGTATGGTCCTTACTGAATAAAAGGAGAGGGGATTGTGAAGGTAAGTCTTCAGGGAAGTAGATAAAAATGATTAGTTGATGGTAAGAAAGAGGTATGAAAGATCAAAGTACTTAGGAAACCAGGTTAATATAAATTATATATGATAAATTATTATATTTTTCTAAATATTGCTTGTATAAAAAACAAAACATACATAATTAGAGTTTAGCATTTGACAAATATTAAATTATATGTACTTAGTCAAAATGATTGAAAATACTGAATATTGGTTTAACCAAATATTATGGTCTAGCTATATTAGAAGGGAAGGTGGTAAAAGCCAAATTCTCAGATTCCTTTTAAGAGGACAGTATGTAATGTAATTTCTAAAGTTGATAAATCAAGAAATACTGAGCAAAACATAGTATTTAAAATATAGAAATAAAAATTACAAGGAATAACTAAGAGTTTTATGTGGCTTGTCTGTGGAAAGCAGAGCTTGAGGTACAATTAGATAAGGAGCTAACGGTTGCTATTTTGTGTTTTGACTTTTACCAATTTGACTTTTAAAGAAAAGTATGGTCATTAATAAAAAAGTAAAAATTAATTTTAAAACAATTAAGAAAAAGTCCCAAATGTACAGCAGAGCTTTTATTGTTAAATTTATAAGTAAAGCTGATACAAAGTCCAATTTACAAAACATTCATCAATATTTCCATGTCTAATAACTAAGCAAGATTTGATACCTTGAAATGCTCTTTGATCACAGGTATCCTAATGTTGAATAAGTCACAGTAAGTGCCCTTAAAAGATACTTTTATTTTAAAAAAATTTTTAAAATGTATTGCTAAGTTGAAAAGAAAATGAAGCCATAACATAAAAGAAATAGAACACAAAAAGCTGAAATATGAGTGGTGAGTGAGCAGACACAGAGCTTGAGGTGTCCTGGAAATATGTTGAAACTAGAAAACAGGTTTTCTGGCTAAAAGCCCACTGAGGAGCAGGATTTAGACCAAGTGTCAAAGCTGAACGTGAGACCCCACTTAAAGCTATGTATTCCCAACCCCCAGAGCCTGCATCTTTAGTAGGAAAGGTGAAGTTAGGACTGGTGGAGTGGCTCAAATGGTAGAGCACCTGCCTAGCAAATGTGAGGTCCTGACTTCAAACCCCAGTACTGTCAAAAAAAGAAAGAAAGAAAAAAAAGTTGGAGTTAGAAAAATCTGGTAAGGTAAACAACCAGAAGATCATTTTGTTGCTGGTATACTGGATAAAAAATTCGGTAATACTTTTATCGTTGGTACTTATTGTCATGGCCTTACTCTCCCATGGTCTTGTAGTTTGAATTTTTTTGGGGGCTTCCAGCTTGCTAGACAGGCACTCCACTGCTTGAGCCATACCTCCAGCCTTGCAATTTGAATTTATACCTCCTCATTCTGAGAAACCTCAATCCAATAACTTAATTTAAAATGTCTTTAGGTTGACAATATTTCATAATATCTAAAAGAAATCATCTTGATTCTGGCCTGACAGGATTGCCAAGGTTATGTTTGAACCAAATAAAATAAAGAAATGAAGAAACAAGCCACATAGGACTAAGAGTTAACACTCACTACAGTCTGTATGATCTGAAAGATTAACAATAATGAAATTACAAGAAAGCATATGCCAAAAAAGTGTGACGTGAAAGAACAAGTGACTATCAAAAAAGACCAGGTAAAATAAAAAAATAAAAATGTAATAACTGAAATGGAAAATTTAACTGATGGACTAAATAATAGATAAGACACAAGTGAGAAGAAAATAAGTAAACTGTAGAAAATATAGAAGGATGTTGTAAGAGACAGAGAGAGAGAGAAGGAAGAAAGAGGATTAGAACTATGGAATATGGAAGAGGGGTTATGAGAAACAGATGACAATACACGTTTCACTGGATTTCCCACAAAGAGAATAAAGAGAATAGGGGCACAGTAAAGAATTTTCTAGAATAATTTTGGAAACATCAGTCCTCAATTTAAGAGTCATGGAAATTAAAAAACCTAATTCTAGTCACCTCATAGTCATGCTTCAGAAGATCAAAGACAGGGAGAAGATCTTAAAGCAGTTAGGGAGAAATTAAAAATCATCAATAAAGGAACCATAATTAGTCAGCAGCTCCCCATTAGCAACAATGGGATCCAGAAGACACTGGAATCTTCTCTATAAAATACTGAGAAAAAAATACTTATCAAATTAGAACTGAATACCAAGCAAAATTTTTTTTCATGAATTCTGGGAAATGGCAGAATTTTTGGATCACCATATAAAAATCACATAGAATGATCACCTCACAAAACCAAAGACCCATGTACAATATTTACAACAAATGTAGGTGACAATGTATTACTAACCCTAACATACTAGTACAACATCAGTACAATTAGTAGGGCCACGAGCGTAAGACCTACATGCTATAAGAATTTCTGTGGGAAGAAGAAGGAATCAAGAGATATCTACAGTCTGATTATAGGAGGTCCCTTGAAAAGTCAGTTGAAAATAATAGCAGGTGAGTTTGAGAAGAGGAGGGAGAGATGGGAGAGTTCTGTTTATCTCAGGTGAGTGAAAATGGTCTTCCATAAAGTCCTACAACAGGTACTTGGAAACTGC